TTTTAAGCGAGAGGTTGCCGATGTAGACAGCATTAGCGCAGAGTGATCGCTGAAGGACGCATCAGGGAAGAAGTGGAACTCATATAACAACGAACTTTCACGGTAAGGGTATGTGTGTGTATGTGTGTGTGTGTGTGTGTGTGTGTGTGTGTGTGTGTGTGTGTGTGTGTGTGTGTGTGTTGTGTGGTGTGTGTGTATGTATGTATGTGTGTACATATGTATGTATGTATGTGTGTATGTATGTATGCATGTGTACGTGTATGCATTTTGCAAATATATTCAGTATTTTCATTTACCTTCACTCATCTTTTGTACAGCATACAAAACATATAAAATAATTGTATCTAGTTAGACATAAATTAAGATCTTTATCGATTTAGAGTTTGCATTATTTTACTGAAAGCACTAAATTACAGAACAATATAGCCAACCACTGCGCTTGCTACCAAAACTGAAGAAATTCTCCGTTCGCGCTCAAATATCATTCCTACAATAGACACAGCAGCCAACAGAACAACCTAAACTTTACATTTTCAGCACAAAGAAAGAAAAATTACAAACAATTATCAACAGATGGCGTCAACATTATTCCCAATACAAAAATCATTATCGTTCTCGATACAAAAGTCCCCATTATTCTGAACATAAAATTCATCACTGTCCTCAAATCAAAGCATAATCGTCGTTATCCTTATGTTTATTCTTATCATAAGAATCATCCTCACTGTTACTAACGCATAAAAATCCCAATATCTCCTTCAAAGGACTTAAAAAGAAAAAAAAATCTAAAGCAACAGAAACTCAAGCCCCAATCGCAGAGACGAAACAATCATGCACATTTCTCCCAACAGATGGCGCCGACGAAACAATCATGCACATTTCTCCCAACAGATGGCGCCGACAGTCCACCCCGTGTCGCCCTTTGATCCGACCAGTGACGCCTCCAACCTGCGGAAGGCCATGAAGGGCTTAGGCACCGATGAAGACGCCATAATTAACATCCTCACGAGCAGGACGTCGAGTCAGAGGCAGTCGATCATGGCTGAATACAATCACACATATAACAGGGTCAGTTGTGATTACAGGTTGTTTGTTAATGTTTGGAATATCGTTGTTGTTGTTGTTTTTATTATTATTTTAAGGTTTCCATGTAGTTATTGTCTTACTGTTCATATTTTTATTGCTTTTTATTGTTATTACTGTCCTCTATCTTATTGCTGTTGCTATTGCCATTATCAGTCGCATTATCATCAGAGCAATCATAATCTTTAATATCTTTTTTAATATAATCTAGGTGGAGATAGGAGTCATTAACGACCTCCAGGGACAGATATAAGTATGCAGAGGTCTAAAAAAAAAGTCAATGGCGACATGAAACTACTGGTCTCGGTGTTTTTTATTAAAGTCAACGGGCGGGTAAAAAAAAAAAAATAATATATATATATATATATATATATATATATATATATATATATATATATATATATATATATATATATATCACACTAGCACTTTTTCCGTCAATTTTTTTACAATTTTCTGAAAATTTTGTCCATTTTTGAACGAATTGTTGATTTTCCAGTCAAACGATAATGATCGTTTCAGTCTGAAAACCTCTCCGTCAAATTTTTCATCCAAGCATAGTCAAACCAACAGCTATATTCGAGAATTTTGTATTTGTTATATAAAATTATAAATAAAAAAAAAAAGACGAGAAAAAGTGCTTTATGTTATAATAAAATTGTCAAAATTTAAAAAAAGACGAGAAAAAGTGCTAGTGACACACCTTCAACAATCCAACACCATTTCCCCCCGCAGGATCTGGTGAAGGACCTGAAGAAGGAGCTGCACGGGAAGTTCGAGGACGTGGTCGTGGCCCTGATGACTCCCCTGCCGGCGTACCTGGCCGAGGAGCTCCACCACGCCGTGAGCGGGAAGGGAACCAACGAGAAGACTCTGGTGGAAATCCTTTGCACGAGGGACAACGCCTCCATCAGGTTCGTGTTTAGAAGGAATTTGTTTTTTTCGTTGTTCCTGTCCGTTTTTTTTCGTTTTTTTTTTTCTTTTCTTTTCTTCTTTCCATCTTTCTTTTTTTTTTTTTTTTTTCCTTTTTTTTTCTTTCTTTTTTTTTTTTTCGGTTCCTGTCCGGTTTTTTTTCTTCTTTCTTTCTTTCTTTCTTTTTTCGGTTCCTGTCCGTTTTTTTTCTTTTCTTTCTTTCTTTCTTTCTTCTTTTTCGGTTTCCTGCCGGTTTTTTTTCTTTCTTTCTTTCTTTCTTTCTTTCGGTTCCTGTCCGTTTTTTTTTCTTTCTTTTTTAGGTTCCTGTCCGTTTTTTTTCTTTCTTCTTTCTTCTTCTTTTTTTTCGGTTCCTGTCCGTTTTTTCTTTCTTTCTTTCTTTCTTTCTTTCTTTTCTGAGGGATCTGTCGATGTGTATTTGAATATTTTATTAGGAAAAAGGGATTTTACATCTCTTCCTTATACAGTAGATAAAGATAAGATTATCACTATTACATGAAACAAATAGCGTATGTTAGATAGCCATTAGATATAAAGATTTCAGTGTCATTTTTTCAGAGATATTTGTCGATAGGTAAAAAATAATAATAATAATGTATGATTTGAATATTCATATTAGGCAAAAAAAAAAGTTACATCTTAATTATACAATAGATAAATGTACGATGCAGTACAAAAAGTACAAGTGTACCCAACTGTCTGATAGCCCCTGCAATATTCTTTCTTCCTAGGTCTATTAAGGACGCCTACGAACTCAAGTACGACAAAAAGCTTGACGATGTGGTTAAGAGCGACACTTCAGGTGATTTTGAGGACTTCCTGATGTCTCTGCTCGCCTGTGTGAGGGATGAGGAGTCCTTCGACCCCGCTCTCAGTCCTCACCTCGCCGAGAAGCTGTACAAGGCGGGTGAGTTGAGAAAACCTCATGGCAGGACCCCCTCGTGTTGGGCGTGGTCTGCAGGTGAAGCGAAGGGTGTTGCTAGGTGCTTCGCCTGTCTTCAACTTCACCTATTTCCCTCTTTTTTTTATCTATATGTCGGTGACACGTAAGGTATTGCGTATGGTTATCTGTCTCGAGCTAAGGGAATTATTTAGGACATGGACACGTGGTCTGTATCTCGTGTGTCTTGGGTATGGTTGAATTCACTCTGCTTTAGCGTCATATTTCTCAACAGCTGATTTTTATATATATTCATACGGGATTGTTCCCGATAAGACGAGTTTACTCTTTTGTCTAACGTTTCTTCGCAACTTAACCTAACTTAACATTTTTTTCCCATTAGCTTTTGTTGTTCAGCCTCCACCTCCTCCTTGATCTCTCTCTTCTCCTCCTTTCATCTTCTTCCAGTTCCATAATTTACCTGCTTATAGGATCATTATCTCTCCTGACAACATGGACAAATCACTGTCAAATTTCCTAGCCATCTTATAATTTATTACTTATTTAATTACTTTCATTAATACCAGTAAAGTTTTATTTCTGGTAGAAACAGCTGAAAGAAAACATTATTGCTTATAGTAAAATCACGACCAATTTTCATAGACATCTCTGTCATTTATTTACTTATTTAATTACATTCGTTAATGCTAGTAAAGTTTTATTTTTGGTTAGAAGCAGAGCTGGAAAAATACGATTGCATAAATTAGCATAAAAGAATGGACACACGTGATATCGATGACCAAAGCTCCACGGATTCATGTATCAGTGTCGTGTGATTGCTCCATGAACAATGGTCGTGTAACCGCACGCATGAAGATAACTTCAATTCTTAACACATATAATACTATTCTCTGTCACGGTGAAAGTTGTCATACAATGATTTGGAATATAATGCTGGAGACAGTTCATGTAAAAAGACAAAGCTGACATAAGCCGTGATCGTGCTAGTTTCAAGCAGCATTGACCTTCATCAAGAACAGAAAAATTGCTAAATCAGTACATTCCTTTTGTCAGTTTAAACCCATGACAGTGCGTTCATCACTTTGTTTTACATTCGCTTGCACTACAATTGTACCCGATTTAGCTTGTTTGGCACTAACCGTCACCCCTTTTGACAAATCCCTAATAGATATAAACTGGATTTAATGAACTGTTGGAGTTAGGTAAAAGCCCTTCATTGAACGCGATTTTTAAAGCTTAAAGAGTTTTTCAGAGTTTTTTCATGGGTGTGTATGAAAGAAAATGGGGATTTTAACTTCCGTTTACACTACGCACACTTTCCTTTACCACTGTTTGGTCTATCCAGAGTTAAAACCAAAGACTATATATAGCCTTCGGTTATTACCAGTCCCTATATACAAATCCCACGTAAATAAAATACTACAACTTTCCTCTCTCACAAACAAGATCAGAATCTATCACACAGAGAATCCTAAACGAGAATTTATCATCCTAAACGAGAATTTATCATCCTAAAAAGATCCTAAACGATTACCAACTCCTACACTAACAGGCGAGGGCCGGAAAGGAACAGACGAGGAGGAACTGCGCCGCATCCTGGTGTCCTACTCCTACCAGCAGCTGAAGGACGTCTTCTCCGAGTACCACAAGCTCGCCGGGAAGACGCTGGGAGAGGCTCTCGACGATGAACTCTCTGGAGATCTGAGAGACGCCATGAAAGCTGCTTGTGAGTTGAGGTCATTTCTGGTTGTTGGGGAAAAATGGCGTTGTAGCTTGTGTCGTTATTCTTGTAGAAAAGGTGGCGTTGTAGCTTGTGTCGTTATTCTTGTAGAAAAGGTGTGAATGAGAATGGATATCTTCGCAATACAAGAGATGTATTTGACCGGTTTCGAGTATATCTTCGTCGGAAATACATGATTATAATCGAAACCGGTCAAATACATTCTCTTGTATTGTGAAGATATCCATTCTCATTCATACTTTTTTCTACATTTGTCAACATGAATATGGTTCATCGTTATTCTTGTTGTATTTGCTATCGATTTTATCAGAAGTATTAACAGATTAAGTATGTTGGAGCTTCCTT